GTTGAAGAACAGGACTTGCGCGATTTTTTTATCGGCACTTTTCTGCCTTGTGCGCGATCTTGTATATTATTTTTGTTGTTATTTTTGCAGAAAATTGTTTACAGGAAAGTGTATCTAGGCTTGCAAGGTTTCATTCAGTGAAAAATCGCATCCAGAACTTTGGCGTACAGGTTAAGCAGGAGTTGAGCGATCCTGTATCTTCGCGCATCTTTTTCAGGAGTTGAGCGATCCTGAAAAATCGCGCAATTCTACTTGAGCGATTTAGGCCTTGAGCAATATTTCCCTTGCGCGATCTGGAACTCTCTTGCGCGATTTTCCCTTTGCGCGAAACGAGGTGCGCGTTCGCCAAGTTGCGCGAAAACTTGGAGTCGAGCGAAAGTCTCCCCTGCTGGATTCAACCTTGCGCGAAACAGGTCCTCGAGAGTTCTCTTGCGCGATTTTATTTGCTGTGCGCGATTTTCTTTAGGTGCCCGAATCCAGTTTGTGGGCAAGTTCTTTGCCCAGTTGAGACTAAATCACGTTTTCACAAAAAAAAAAAAAGGAAGGAGGGGCAAAACCGTCTTTTGAGACCCGGCAAATTTTGCGGCTATCGTGTCCGCAGGTCGCCCGCGCAGGGGGGGTGCGAATTTTCGCTTTTGAGCTACAAGCCGAAATCCCATGTGCGCGAGAGCTCCTCTCCTTTCCTTCACCATTTAATCTTAAGGAAGGAGTGCTCCATATAAATAGGCTCTAAAGTTTCCAAGGGTTTTAGGTGTGGGATAAGTTAACTAGCTTACTTTTCCCTTCACTTGGACAAGTACATTTTTTTTTCCCAAAACCCACTTCAAGTGCTAATTTTTAGCCCCTCTTCAAACCTTGAGGTCAAACTCCTAAACCAAAGCTCAACATTTTTTCAAAGCTTCAAATAGTCAACCTTGAGATTTAAAAAAAAAAAAAAAAAAAAATTAATTAAAAAAAATCTCAAGGTTAAGACTAAATTTTCTCAAAATCAAAGCTACATTTCAAGAGTCACAAACTTGCAGAATACTTCAATCAACCACACGTTAACGATCAATTTTCAACAGTCGATCATGACCACTCCCAATATTGCTGATAAAGTGACTGTCCTCTCTGCTCAAAACAAGAATGCAGACAGCGCTGTAAGTACTTCTAATCCTTCTGCTCATACTTGCTCTTGCTCAAAAACTGATATGCATGATAAATTTAAGGAGCTAGAGGTGAAATATGATAGATTGTATGATGTCTATAATCAACTGCGTGAAAAACAGACATGCTCAAACATCAAAATAATCAATTCAGAGAAAACTATCACTAAGCTCACAACTGAAAATAAGAGACTTAGTACTAGCGAAAAAGAACTGACAGAGAAGCTTAAGACTACTGAAAAGGAGAGAATTAGACTTTTTGGTGTCAATAATTTACTTATGGAAAGAAGGGGTGCTCTTTACACCAAAATCAAAGAACTCGAAGACCTGTTAGCTAAGAGGGACCAAACAGACCAGACTATTTTCCTTAATCAGCCTAAGGACACTCGTTTCTATAATGCCAAGGAGGGCCTGGGATTGACCAATCCTCAAAACCTGAAAAAGGTCAACTGCAAACAACTCTATGATGTTAGATACATGAAAATAGGATTGACCAAACTCATGGCCTTCACTGGAGCTGAAGAAACGAATGCCCTCGAGGATGAAAAGAGAAAGACAAAGGCTGGTGTCGAGGTTCCTTTTGACTACACAGAGCTAAACAAGAGTTACAAAACCAAAGCGCTCCCACTGACTCCTGCTGATGAAGTCATAACTTATGCTCCTGAAAAGGAAACTGTGCAAGATGGAGAGGAACCTTCAACTTCAGAACCTGTAGTCAAACCAGCATACATTCCACCTCTTGTGAGAAAGTTTGCTGAACTAAAAGAATCTTTTGAAAAGGAGAAACAGGTTTTAGAAAAAGAAAAGGATCAACTTTTGAAAGAAATATCCATGTTAAAAACATCCTCTCAGTCCATCACAGTTTCTCAACCTTCTTCCCTCTCTTTCTCAGAAAAATGTTTAGAAAATTCAACCAACACTTCTAAAACTTCTTCCACTCACTCTGAGCCTCCTTCTCAGACCGGAAACCATGTGAAGAAGAGAGTTGAGAAGAGAGGAGAGTGGATCGAGGAGAAGTTAAGAAGGAGGAAGAAAGAAGAAGAATCTCATCTAGGAAATAAGAATCAGCGTTCGAGTGCCTTGTTTTATGCCAAGAATAAGTCTAGATCTGGCATTAGTGAGCTTTCAACTAGTAATACTAGAAGTGGTGTTCCTAGGAATCTCCTAAGCGAACCCTCGACTAGTAATGCTAAAAGAGTGGCTCCTAAGTTTTCTAGTTCTAAGACATCTGTCAAGAATCGCTACTCTAGTGTTTGTTCTCTGAATTGTGTCAAGTCAATGAAAATTTGCTGTTTTGAGCTTGCCTCCTCCTCCATCAAAGATAAGAATGTGAATGTTCAGAGATGCCCAAAGAAATCAACTGCTGTGAAGGTGAACTTTGAGGGAGAGTACAAATTGCCGTGTTTAAGGTATCCCCTCAAGGTTCGCTCACTTAAACATTTGAGAAGGCTCTCTCAGGAAACAATTTTAAAAGATCATCTGTCTGAACATTCACTCACTGTTAACGAAATCTCTCTCGCTCCAAAGTTCAAACAACAATGGGTTCCTAAGGCCAAAGCTGAGAAACTAAGAACGTCAAATCCTTCTCAATCAGCTGGCTTAGGTTCCCACATCAAACAAAAATTAAAACAGCTCTTCACCACTAATAAGGATGGACCCATTTGGAAGTGGGTACCAAAACGTACTTAATCTGTTTTGCAGGTCCGTCATGTGTGGTACCTGATTCGATTGCTCCACACACATGGCGGGTGAGAAGAGCTGTGAGCAATCAACTGGTGCACATTATTAAGGGGAGTATTGGCATGTATACTACCCTACTGAGCAGATAATCAACAAATGCACACCTCAACACCAACGCATGCCAAGAAGAAACAACAAGTGCTTATTCTGAGGGGGAGTGTTTCTTTTTCACTCCTTCTGGTGCCTTACAACGAAGAAAGCACATATCAAGGGGGAGTTTTCTACTTTACTCCCCGGGTGACAAACAACACCTTGCACATTCTGAGGGGGAGTTACAATTTTCTCCTCCTGACGCAAATCAAGGATCAATGCAAGACAACCCAAGGACGTTATGGCAGAACCAGTAGCAATCAAGACAACTCAAGGATGTCGTGGTGGTTGTTCTCAAAGGCCGCAAAATTTAGAAGGCCCTAAACAAAAATTGTCGAAGCACCAGGGGTGTATCTCCAACAATTCTGAGGAACACTCAACTAAGCAAGAGATACCGCTGGTCCGAGAATTCTGAAAGACACCATTGACGACACCAAGGCGACCAACACCAAAAAAGTTCATGCATCAAGTGCTCCAAACACTAGAACTGATAATGGAACGGAGTTCAAGAACAAGGAGCTGACCGAGTTCTACGAATCTCAGGGAATTACACAACAGTTCTCTACAGCCAAAACACCATAGCATAACGGGGTCGTAGAACGAAGAAACAGGATCTTGGTGGAAGCAGCCAGAACCATGCTGATACAGTCAAAAGCTTCCTCATTTCATGTGGGCTGAAGCTATCAACACGGCTTGCTTCACACAGAACTGGATGGCGATTCACAAACGATTGGACAGACTCTCTAACATTGCCTTCTTCCGCATCTTCCGCTACAAGTGCTACATTATGAACAACAAGGATGCTAGGGGACAGCTTGATCCGAAAGCAACTGAAGACAAAGAGGCTCAATCATCTTCTGAAGTAGGAGGACAGGGAGACGAGACAAGATCGGATGAGCACGTGGTACTAGATTCTCTGTTCGAGCACTTTTACAGTCAACCACGTGCATCACCAACTACAACCGCTACAAATTCTCAGACCTTCCTGTTATATGCTCCCACCGCAGAGAAAACACTCACTCCCACTCAGAAGTCAGAATGATGATGAGCACACAGATGACGAAGCTGAATATGAACCATCTACCCCGCATAATGATCAACCTGAAGCAACTGCAACGCAAGAAACCCCAGAGGCACAACCAGATCAAGAATACACTGATCCAGATCATTCAATCGTAACTCCACTACCTCTGCAACATGAGAGAAAGTGGACGAGGGCACATCTGCCAGAACTGATAATTGGTGATCCATCAAAATGAATCAGTACCAGAACCGCTTCAGCCAATGAATGCTTATATTCATGTTTCCTGAGTCAGAAGAAACCAACAAAGATGACGGATGCATTGGCTGATCCGGATTGGATGATTGCGATGTAGGAAGAAGAAAAACATTGATCTGTTCAAACATCTACCATATATGAGATGGTTTTCTATGTTGATGCGACGTGTCTCTAGAACAACTCCAACTATCCACCAAAGACTATCTACTGAGATTCTGAGAACGTCAGCACTCCATCCCTCAAGTACATTCAAATGGTGACTGAGGATCCTACACTCTTACCATTCACCATACTTGTGTCTCTACTGCAGCTAGCTAATCTGAATGATCCATCTGTCTGACGCTACTGCTAGAAGAACAATATCATACTCCCTATGGCTCAGATAAACCCCCTTGAGCCTACCCCGGGGAGTCAGCCGAGAGATAGTGAGGGTCCTGAGAGTTCTACCCAGCCACAAAGACCAGTGGCAAGTCGGCCCCATGATGATCAGACTACGTCTGCTGAGGGCCAACCCCAAGTTGCTGAGGAGATTTCCCATGATTCGCCAAGCGTAGCCAGAACAATAAACGCTGACGATGAGGGCTCCGGTAGCAAGGCTAACAAGCGTAACAAAGTCAACAAGGATGATGAGGTTAATGATGATGCGGATGACAACACTAATCAAATCAGGGAGCCTCTGGTACAAAAACGCCGGCTCATTATCAGGCTCCCCACAACAGCAGAAAGAGATGTGTCTTACTCGCGGAGGAACAAAGAAGAAATCATTATAAGTGCGACACACTCCAAGCATCAAAATGACATCCTTTACTCATCATTCACTCCTACATAGAGGACACGGGACGTAAGCAATCTGGCAAAAGAAATAGCCCTGTTTGACGAGTGTACAAACCTAGATGTAGTAAACCGGACTGACCCCATAGGAGCAGAAGCTGACTTTCTCAGCTTCCGAGTAGAAGACGCAGCATCTTGTCCAACTGCGCATGCACAAGCCACACCTAGCCACTCTGCTGCCTCCCAACAGGTAGTAGTTTCACAAATAGGGGATCTTATACCCACCTCTCTGCCCTCTTACGGAGCAGTTGAGGACATATATAGTGGTCTATCACCCTGGGCCACTACCCCTTCTTCAATCACATTGAGTCTAGGTGTCACACTCCCTACATTTTCAACTTTTCTAGGACATACACTCCTCACACAACCACATCTACAGGTCCACTTTACCTGTCATCAACGATCGGAGATAAGTCGATGATGATCGGAAGTCCTGCTGCTCAACAGATAACTCAATCATTAATTGCAGGCCACACATCGGTAATTTTTACTGATGTTGTGACAACGGTTACTACCCCTGTAACCGGAAACCCTGACCCTACCGACCTTTTAGTCATTTTGCAGCGTTTCATGGATTCCACCATTAAGCCATGGGTGCACGAAGCAATAACCGCTCGGGCACAGGAATTCACGAACACCCCGACGCTGTTTAACGACATCATCCAACCTCAACCATCATCCTCACACTCTAAACAACAACAACTTACCCCTTTCCTTACACGTCAAAATTCTGAACCCTCCACCACACAACCTACCACTCCTACCACCTCAAGGGGAACCCAGGATACAAAACTAGTGTCCTCCCCTATATCGACCACACCCTACCCTAATCCATGCACTATGGTTTTCGAGGAACTCCAATCTATTATGCTAGCAAGAAACCGACAGCACATGCAATGACAGTCTCCGCGGTCACAAACGTTCGCATGAGGACCCAAATGATTCGGATCCTCATGAGGGGGAGAACAAGAGACAGCGGACACTTGAGCATGTTGCGTCAACTAGCCAACAACCACAACCTGAATCCTCTAACAACCAACAACCCCAATCATCTAGCCAACCCAAAAGCCATACCACTCAGGAGGTTGAGCTGCGCGAAATACGGATAAATGCAAGGTTTCTCTCAACGATGCACATTTTTTTTAAGGGGGGTTCTATTTTCTCCTCCCGGTGACGAACAATGACAAAGCATACCGAGTTCTCCAGTTGAGGGGGAGCACAGAGAGAAAATAAACAAGATCAATGAGAGATAAGTCCCAATGGCTTAGTAAACCCAACTAAGCCTACCCAAGGGACAAAGCTGAAAGTGAGTGAATGAGTGAATATTATGAGAGTGAGGAAGCAGAAGGCTCCGATGAGCAAGAAGATAATAATCAATGACAAATCTGCTACCTCAAATGAGCTATCAATCGTGGAATCAATCCCAGTCACTCAAATACTCCGGACAATCCCCATAGGTTCAGGACTGAATTTATTCAGATCCCGGGTAGAAGTCGCTGCATTTTGTCCAAACAGCGCGTGCACAACCCTACCCTAGACCACTCACCTGTCTCCCAACAGACAGGTGTTTAATCACTGTTCACGGGGAACCTCATCTCTTATCACCGTCTCCTTATGAGGCGACTGATACTGACTACAGTGGCCCTCAGCCCCATGCCACTGAACTTTCATTGATCACGTTGTGTCTAGTTATCTCACTCCTAAATGTTTTGAATTTTCTAGGACACAGACACATTTTTAGAGTCAGTTGCAGGTCCAAGTGACCATGTGAGAACTTCCATAGGCTCATCTTCTATAGATGCAGACCGATGATTGGATGGAAGTCCTGATGTTGCAACATAGAAATCACCAACATTTTCATGCCATCATTTAGAGTTCATCTCTATAGTGATGATAACGGGTGTCTACATGATCCCGGGGGGCTACAATTATCCATGCTGATCCTAGTGATCATGCCATAACAACCAGAGTGACATCTACTTCAGATGTTTCACAATGATTGGTTGGAAATCCTGTTAGAGCTACAACGTTTCTATCATTATATACAGGCCACACATCAGTGTTTACATTGATGTTGTGTTAACGGAACACCACAGTGTCTCCGATCCTTATCCTTTCATTTTTTCATTTTCCATTTTTTTCAGATGAATAAAAGAATAAAGGCATGACATCCCGATTCATGGAATCGTCATGAGGGGGAGAGTGGTCCACATGTTGTTTACACTAAAAAATCATTCCCGGACACTTCTCTCCTCCGCTAAAAAAAAATGATGACGGCTCTCCACTCTTTCAAATTCATCAACTGCCAAGTCGGCTTCAGATATGCTCACAAGTCAACCATCATTTTCCACTGTGCTACCGACAATTGTTTCTCAAAAGCATTCACGACTGAATAGTCAGAAAAGGCTACATTCTGGAGGATACAGAGGCCGGATGATCAAATATTGAAGATGAATTCCTTGTGCGCCTAGATCTCTTTAGATCAATCATTCTAAAGGCGCCATCGGATTCATTCAAGCTGATCAAGAGAAACTTCTGAAAGGCAAGGATTAAAAGCAAGATTTTGAAGAATCCCTCAACTCCCGGCATCAAAGAACAAATTGAATAAATAACACCAAGGGGGAGATTGTAAGGATTTCTTCATGAAGCCTTTCGAAGAAGATAAAAGAAGTTGAGGCCAAAGAAAGAAGAAATTGAAAGAATTTGACCGAATGAAGGCGGTGCTAAACGCAATCAACGCTCGACTCGAAAAGAGGAGAATGCTGCGCCAATATGAACATGCTCTAGCACTGCAAAGCAACTACTTCAAGAGGCAGAAGGATCCACAAGAGCCGACAAAGAACATCTGATCACAAAGGGGGAGATTGTTAGAGATATTTTCATGTATTGTGATCAATGTTTTATCTAGCCTCTTGGTAGTATTTATTGTGTATTTAATAGGCCTTAAATGTAAAAGGCTACTAAGCTAATTTAGGAATGGGCCTCCTAAAAAGGAGAGCCCATATCATTGTAAAACCTACCATTCTAAGGAGGCTATAAATAGACCCCTTAGGAATGGCTAGGTTAAGCTTTCCTCCCTTAGAAAAATTCCCTGCGCATAGAATAGAGCCTACGGAAGTTTTACGCTACATGTTCTTCATCTTTATGTAAACTTTCTGGCTATCAATGGAAAGCTTCTTCTACTCCTATTAATCAGATCTTATACATTATAGAGTAGAAATAGGGACCAACACTAACTATTTGTGTTTTTTACTAATGATGATGATTATTGTGTTAATAATTATTATACATATATGAATATATGATCCATATAAGATTTGATAATGAACGGTTAAGAAAAGTAAATTTTAATATTTAAGAGAATGAAAAAGCATATTCGAAATCATTTTACATCCCTGCTTCTTCTAAAAGATGTTCATAGAAATCTAAACCATTAAATATTAAAATCATATGCAAAGCAACTAAGCAAGATTTTTAAAAAACAAACAATTTGATAAAAAAAAAATTGGAGTGGCATATTATATAGTCCGTCTGAAAATTGTGGCTTCTGTTTTCCAAAATAGATTTTGAGATTTGCGGTATTTGTGCACAACCTCAAAATAAAATATGGCAACAACATTGAGTTGACAAAGATAACATTCAAAATTAAAAAATCAGCCAAGGAATAACCAACATTTCGGCTCTTATCTCTTCAAACAATATGCACCTTCACTCCATTAATGGATGATGCCGACACAAGAAGCTTGAAAATTTGTGAAAGCGTTTGCATAGAAATGTTCTGGGATCACCCTATGTCTTGATCGGTGGAGCTCAATCTCAGTAAATAGCCTCCAGGCCAGAATAACAAGCTAGAAATAAACCGAGAAATAAACCTAATCATAAAACATAGATCGAGAAATAAACCGACGAATTTTGAGGCAACTACGTGACAAGAGCGCGACAGAGAGAAGGAGGAGAGGCAACTACGGAGTATCCATTTTCGAATGGGTTATAATGGTTGGGAAAATGGTAATGGTTAGTGTGACAATTTTATTTAGTACTCCCTCCGTCCAAGAAAATTCTTCCAACTTTCCTTTTTGGGACGTCCCAGAAAATTCTTCCAACTTCACCTTTTTGATTATTTGTGTGGCTCACATTCATTTCACCTTTTTCTTACACAACTACAACCACACATTTCCACTTTATTCCCACTTTCTTAAACTCCGATCCAAGTCAAACTAGGAAGAATTTTCTGGGACGGAGGGAGTACTTATTAAAGTGAAGTATTATTATACGTAGTATGTCTAAATTGTTAGTACTCCGTATTAATAATACTCTCTCAAAATTTTACCAAGTTTGACCGTACAAGAATAATAAAGTAAAAATTTTGTGATGTAGAGTTATGTGGAAGAGAAATAAAAGATAGAAATCACATATTAATTGATTAAAAGAGAAAATGATAAAGTTATTAGGACAACAAAAAATAATAGATGACAAAGTTATAAGGGAATGAGTGATACCTTAATTAGTTTTTTTGTTGATCTCTATAGATCAGAGTGTAAACTGTGAAAATGATAATACCTACCGATAAATGCAATGAATTGGTGATAGTATAACTTTTCATTCAGCAAGTGGAATGGCTTTAAGAGCCCGTTTGGTAACACTGAAATCGGATGAATCAACTAATCCTGCTGAAATTTATGAAGTTCTGGCTTATGTGGTTGTATCGACTGATTTATGAAAAAATTAAATTTTAAATATATTTTATTAATAAAATAAAGAAAAAATTATATGTAAACATAGGTGAAATGATCCTCTACAGTAACTTCAGCAGAAACTCCAACCCTATTTTTTCATATTATTACACATTTTAGCCCGCGAAATAAAAAATTGCATGTTTGGTGAAAAAGTTGGCTGGTAAGCCTGATAAGATGAATAACGGTGTTACCAAACGGGCTCTAAGTGATTTATTTCATGGAGATGATATATATTAAAACTAAAAATATCTATATATACACGAAGGGTTTAAATTTAAAAAAAAATAGTCACTTGAACTTCGTATTATTATACATTTTACATATAATATAATATAATTACAACAGTAAACATAATTCTACTAATTGTTTCCTGTTTGTCTTGAAATTATCAAAAATAAGAATCGTAAAAAGTTAAACACCGATGGATTAAAAAAGTTTTAACCACAAAAATGACGTCTTTTTAGAGTCCGCCGTAAATTCGGCATATATTGAAAGATTTTTCAAGCACTATCATGCAAAATATGATTAGAGAAGAGCTACCTTGGAAGTATTTCAAGATGATAATTTTTTTTATGATAAAGAAATTTTGTATAATAAATATAAAGAGTATATATGAAGAATGTAGGATAATTTTTAATTAGGCAAAGTTGTTCCACATTAACAACAGAGTCCAAGCTTATCATTGAGTTTTTACTTTTTATGTTTGTGCATCGCACGGGTAAGCTACTAGATTCATCAAATTTTGTATTTTGATGCCAAAAATTAATCTTCAAGTATAGTAGCTAAAAAGGGTAAGTTTAGAACAGAATTTGGGTATATTAACGAATCATTTCAAAGTGCAAACTAATTGATAGGCCATATAATCCAAAAAACAATTTGGCAAAGTCACTTTACTCAATAAGATATCTTCAAAAGTGAAAAATAGTTTGATGAGTGCGACGGATCAGAATCCTATGGCAGAATGTCTTGCGGCATCAGACGGTCAAGGAACACTAGGACGAAATCAAGATTGGTCATCAAATTTCAGATCGAACGGTTCGAAAGAATCAGACACACTGTCTTGCTTGATAGAGGCTCCGGATTGGAATGCGACCAACGAAGTATGTATATGTTCAATTAATCTTATCTTTTATAGATTTACCATGGATTCGAAAAAAATGAAATAGCTATATTATACTTCTGTTTGTCTTGAAATTATCGAAAATTAGAATCATAAAAAGTTAAACATTGATGGATTAAAAAAGTTTTAACCACATAAATGACGTCTTTTTAGACTCCGCCGTAGATTCGGCATATATTGAAAGATTTTGCAAGCACTATCATGCAAAATATGATTAGCAACTTAGGTTTTACGGTTTACTGCATGTTAGTTGCTTTGACTTTTGGTGTTGTTCGGATAAATCTAAAAAAAAGGAATGTAAACAAAACAATCATCTACTGAAAAGTAAATGAAAAATAGTAAAAACAATTTAAACTCGGGATTTATCTCACTAAAATTTAAGATTATAGATTTTTAAAAGCTTAAAAAATAAAGATTATCTCATATATACTGAAATAGATCGAGTAAGTGCCCATAATAAATATTAAATGAAAGTTAAGAGGACGACTTTATTAATTCAAAATAAATGAAGTTAGTAGATTTTAATAGATTTTCTGGTATATTTTTCCATAAAATTTTATATATGTAGTATGTGTTTACCAAGATTAATTAATAAATGAAATCAGTAGATTTTAATATGTTTGTAGAATGTATTATTATAAGTCGAGCTTAAATGATTTGTTGGTGCACGTAATTAGCACACCTAATGCACATTTTTATGGATAATTACTCTAAATAGGACTAAAACGTTTGTATATTCTAAAACAAGACTTTCAAATTTTTATTCGTTCCCAAAATATGACTAATTACTGCCATGTTTTGGAATTACCAAACTTTAAAGATGGTAGTATTTTTCAAACTTGCCAGTAATTACTCATCTTTTTGAATAAAAACATGACAATCCTATTTTGGAATTTTCAAACTTATTTACTCCTATTTCGGGAATTTTCCCTATTTTATCCATATCAAAAAGTTAGATCAAATCAAACCGTATTAGAACGCATTATATCGGTTAGGTGGTCTTTGGTTCAAGGTTTAAGATTTTCAGTTTTAATCCTATTTTAATCAGAAATATTTAGACCCGGATAAATTGAGTCATTAACGCCTACAGATGTGAGAATTGTTTTCAAATTTTATAGGAGAGAATTTTCAACAATGGTCGCTTATGCAATGACTATTAACAACACTCATGTAGGATTGTTGTTAAAAAACCAATTTTCTCTCACAGTGAATTTTATGTTGTTTCCAGATTTCCAATTGAAAAGGTCTCACAATTTTGTTGGTGGATGGTGATGATCAAAGCACAACAACGACAACCAACATTGTCTATAAAGAAGTTTTTTTTATAAAACTCATGTTGTATTTTATTATTAATAATTGTTTACAAGTAATGCTATTTAGCAGTACTCCTCTAATTGAATAAAAAAAATCCTTGCATATTGTCTTTTACTTGAATAGTTTGTATGTAATTTATATGCCGTGCATCGCACGGGTGAGCTACTAGTTAATCATTAATTCAATAGTGAGGTGCAACTAAGGAAGGATGAGATGCAAAATCTTAGGAAATGTAAATTAGGTGGAGCACCTTCTATGGAATTGGAAGGATGAAAGTTCATGGGCATTTCAAGCGCAAAAGACGGGCAAGAAACAAAATTCCTCCCTCTACGGAGAATTTTGTAAACCCTAAGGAATCTTAACTACTTAAGGGGGAGTCCCTTTATAAAGGGTTGCAAATCCCTTGGGTTTAACGGTGTGGGAAATAACACACTAGAAACTCATCCTTTTCCCCAATTTTTCCATTCTAATGGGTAAACTTCGAAAAACGATTTCTCATTCACCCGTTATCCGTTTTGAGCGTACCACATATCGAATTGTAGCCCTAAACAAGGACAATCCGAAACCACTTTGACCCGACACAAATCGGAAGTGGACTCCACTCAAAAAATTGCCCCAAAATTACCATTTAATGCAATTTTTCACACATTTTTCCAACACATACCCCAACCAAGAAGGAATAGGTGTGTGTGCCAAGAAGAAATAGACTAATATGTTTAATTGAATTGTCTGTGAACAAGAAACAAAGTGTCTGGTCACAGACAATAACCACTGGAACGGCTAATGCGTTGAGTGGAACTGTTTGTGAACCATACATGAAATGTCTAGCCACATGCAATTCTCATTGAAATAGGATAATGTGCTAAGTTGAATTATCTATGAACCAGACATGAAGTGGCATCTCAAAAATGATTATTTTATCACATTAGTTAATATATGTGGAAAAACTAATTGTGCTCCATATAGTTATAAGATATGTACAAATGATGGAAAAAATATTCAATTTGAAAGTCAAGCATTGTGTTTCAAAATAAAGGATATATATGAGATGATTTATTCTTGTATTACTTACTTGTATACAATGCCAACGGAAGTGCTAGGTGTTCTATGTACCTACTTACCATGCTTGTGGCCAGACATTTCATGTCTGATTCACAGACAATCTCACTATGCACATTAGCCATTCCAGTTATTATTGTGTATGACTAGACATTTTATGTCTAGTTCACAAAAAATTTGACTTAGCTCACTATCCCGTTCCAGTGACTATTGTCTGTGAGAAGACAATTCATGTCTGATTCACAGACAACTTCACTTAACCAAATAGCCCGTTCAAGTGACTATTGTCTATGACCAGACACTTCATATATGGTTCACAGACAATTTCATTTTTCTCATAATCCATTCTAGTGACTATTGTCTATGACCATACATTTCATGTCTGGTTCACAGACAATTTCACTTAGCCCATTAAGCCAATAACTTATTCACAAACAATTTCTACATAGTACACTCAACAATCCAATGGAAACAAAATAAGTCATCTGGTATCCCTTACTTTGAAACTCTCATTCTTAGCTTTCAAATTACTTAATTTTTAAATCATTTATTTTATCAATGTCTATTTAAAAAAAACATCTTTGATAACAAAAGCAAGTCTAAATACTATTACATTCTATATACTTGTAAATGTTAATACAAGAGTCCTAATAGATACTTTCATTAATGTTAATACATAAATGACATTGAATTCAAAGGAAAATAATTGAGAACATTACAACACCAAGGCTAAGGCTGAAAATTTTCCACAACTAACATTCAAACTATGCTCCATATTAATCGACA